CACCTGTCATAATTCTTAGTCTTGCTAACGGTAGCTACATTTTTCATTTTAATTTAAAATATCGTTTTATTTTTTTATTAATATCTTGGAAAAATATTTATTTTTTTTGGTTATACGTATCATTACAATACGATGGTTGTACGTAAGGTTTAACTACATAAATATTACTTAGAAATTATTAAAAAATTAAACACAAAAATAGTCGTAAAAGACGTACGATTATTAATAACTTGTGATAACGATTAACGAGTAACGAAATATTAATGAAACTGACTTAAAATCAAAAATTTTGCTTACAAAAAATTGTTATGATAATCAATTAGAAAACATTAACAATCGGAAACATTTAAAGCAACTAAAGAGTATTGTTGAAAAATCTGTTTTCCCAAATTTATATAAAATACTACATTTAGTGCTTGCAGTTCCAAAAAATCTTGTGAAAGAATATTCTCAGCAATGCGCCGAATAAGCACCTACATAAGGTCAACTATATTACCAATTCGGTTTTCCAAGTTAGCAATCATAGAATTTAAAAGAGATTTGTCAAATATTCTAAATAAAGAAGACATTTTAAATAAATTTGCCAATACAGAGCAGAGGCTTAAGCTGTAATAGTTATAAGATTCATTTAAGTTTTTAATTTTTAAGAAAAAATACCTCAATTTTTTTTCAAAATTTACCTCAATATCACTTTTTTTATTATCTGTTTTATACATTGTATATTAATAAAATAATATTATTTAATAATGAATATTACTTGTGGGACGAGTTTGGGGGATGTGAGGGGCAGAGCCACCCACAGGTTTTATTTATTTTAAATATGTTAGGGCTGAAGCTCTTCCCTAACTTTAGGATCTAGTTACGCCTATGGACAGAGGACCAGAAGATATTTGTATATTAATATTTTCAACACAACAAAACTTAGATCTCATGACAATTTGTATACATTGGTTTGCTGCGGTAATTCACGATTCCGCAATACACCATTCAGCATATACCTTTTCATTCACACAATTCCGCACAAAACCAATTTGCGACGTTGCCGATTATATTTTAAAAATTATTTTAGACATAAAAATGGTTGATATTAATATAACATATGTGTCATATATACATTATTTTGGTTTTGCCCCAAATACTAGCTTATCTGAATAATCTGCAGTGTATTACATATGTTTTATCTGGAATCATCAGTTACTTGTTCGATACCCGTTCGTACGTATATTGTGATCGCATTATTGTGTTTTACTGTTGACTTATAAATTTTGTGTGTGTTTATAATTTAAATGAATAATTCCGAAATTCGTATTATTGTGTCAGAGAGGAATAAGGGACTAGCTGTTGTTAATGGCTATAAACATCGATTTGTCGGTGTTCGCAAATGCGATCAACTTTTAAAGTGGCGCTGCTCTTCTGCCAAAAATTGTACAGCGTTTATTTTTTCAAATTAAAAAAAAAAAAATAGTTCTTAACTCAAAAGGTGAACATCATCATCCGGCTGACACTCCTAATAAAATAGAAAAACAAGTACTCAGAGAAAATTGTAAGAGACGAGCATAGGAGTCAGTTTATAGAAAACCTATTAAAATTATTCGTACAGAGTTACGACATTAAATATATATATATTTTATATTTTTGCATAACAATCGAACTACCATGTTATTCACGTTTTTTGTAAATTAGTCATATATTAAGGGAAAAAATTTAAATACATTTTTCTATATACATTTTTAATTATTTGTTTTATTATAATTTTTTTCCTTTAACTGGCAACGTTGCAACCATTTTTATGCAGAATCATGTTAAATTCAGGGTAAATAAAAAAATCTTTTGTATCGGGATTGGGTGGGAAAAACGGTATATTGTGCGGAATCGTGTGCTACCCGTTTGCTGATGGAACGATTTTCACTAGTCCCACTTTATTTACACAAATATATACAATTCATGGAGAGCAATACAGTAAAGTACTTCCTTCATTATTTGCGTTACTACCGGATAAAATTGAAAACAATTATAATCGCTTATTTGAAACGCTTACAAACCTAAAATATTGACTTCGATCAAAAACAATATTGATCGATTTTGAAAAAGCTGCAGTTAATTCGATATTTAAATATATTTTAAAAACAGAAATCAGAGGATATTTTTTTCATTTTCCCAAGCAGTCAGGAGATATGTGCAAAATTGTGAACTTTAAGCAAAATACTCAGAAGATTCAAAATGTTCTCTATAAGTTCATATGTTATCGTTATATTACGAATTGTTATCGTATCGTAACAATTCTCATGCCGGAATAATTTTTTTTTGATAATCAACAATCTTTTATATAATATGTTACTACACACAGGCTACAAAATACTATAACAACGTTCATAATGGAACGATTAAACCCTTATCGCTCGCGCACCTTCTATTAACGCATGGCGTTACTCAAGAGACGCGGTCGAAACGAACCCCCAGGTATGACCCAGGAGCCCGGGTCGTCATATGGACCACCAGCACCAAGCATGTGCCCGTACCCTTTTAAGCCGCGGACACGAGAATCGTGTTGGGACCCGCGATTTCTATTGGGTGTTGTGGTTTTGTTACTATCTCGCGCTGTGCCGAGATAGGCTCCTCAACCTTGGGGGCACCGGATCCGAAGCGGCTAGGTCGGTCCGGCGTGCGGTGGGGCTCCCCCTCCCGTGGTACCGACTAGGTTTTTGGTTGACGTTGGTGGGTCAACCGGGGTTTTTGGCCCCTGCCACTATTCTAGCTTCCTAAACCGGCTAGTGGTGGGCCTAGGGGATTACCAATGCGGATTCAGTAAGGGTAAATCGACCATAGACCGTATACACACAATTTGACAAATAGCAGAAAAACATTATAAGTATAATAATGATCTGGACTTGGTATTTGTAGATTTTAAACAAGCATATGATTCAATAAGCAGGAATAAACTATGGAAAACAATGGAAAACTTTGGAATACCCCAAAAATACATAGCCTTAGTCAAAATGTGCAATAGTAACACCAACCTTAAAGTACGATTTTGGCAAGAAACGTCAACGCAATTTAAAGTACAGAGTGGCCTTCGCCAGGGCGATGCATTATCTCCAATGCTATTCAACATAGCCCTGGAGAAAGTGGTAAGAGATATGTCAGAAGATCGAAAAATGAACCTTGGTGAACTGAATGTTCTATTGGCATATGCTGATGACATAGTCATAATGGGAAACTCAAGAGATAATGTTATACAAACCACTCGAAAACTTCTGAGGACAAACAAGAGGATGGGATTAGAGGTGAACCAACAGAAAACCAAATATATGTGTATGTCACGAACACATACATATAATTCAGATCTAGAGGTAGATAATCTTACCTTTGAAAAAGTTAATGAATTCACATACCTCCGGGTAAACATGAACAGTACAAATATTGTGCATGATGAAATTAAAAATAGATTAACAAGTGCTAACAAGTGTTATTTTAGTTTATTAAAACTACTTAAATCAAAGCATCTGTCTTATGAATTAAAAAATAATCTTAGACACCAGTTACATTAGACCGATCCTAACATATGGATGTGAGACATGGTCAACCATCAAGGGAAACTACCAGAGCCTAATTACCTTTGAAAGAAAAATATTAAGAAAAATGTATGGCCCTCTATATAACAGAGAAACAGAGCAATTTGAAAGAAGACATAATAGTGAATTACGGGATTTATACGGAAGACCAAATATTCTGTCATATACAAGGAGCAAAAGGCTCAAAAGGTTAGAACACGTATGGAGGGCGGATGGCCGAACTATTAAACAAACTCTAATGGCTGAAATGACAGGTAAAAGGCCTCTGGGCAGGCCCAGAACAAGATGAAAGGACTTAGTCGTGAAGGATCTAAGAGTACTTCAAGAAAGGGCTCAGTTAGACGTAGCGTACAATAGGGAAGAATGGAATAAGCTTGTGATGGCAGCGTTGGACCTCAATGGTCCCTTAAGCTGTATATGATGATAATGTTACAATAATAAAATGAGATGTGTGAGGTAGATGGAAATAGACATAATGATGACGCTATCCATTGATATCGCTTCGGCTCGTTAGTTAGGTATTCATTATAGATTTGTTATTAAAATTGGAGAAGGTCCCCTTGGCCATTTACGTTTTAGTCTTCGGGGAGTGAGTGAGAGGATAGGTTTAAAATGAGGGGATTGGTATATTGAGAAAGGCGGGAGTGAAATTTATTGTAGTGTTTTTTGGCTACATTTTTATTAAAAGAGACATGTAGGTCGTTATGGAGTGTGCAATTGGATAAGTATATGGAATGTGATATTCCATATTAGAAGTACTTACAAGTTACACAATGGTCAGTAAATTATTTACAATTTGAAGTTTGTTCCAATTATAAATATTGATATAAAACAATAAATTACTAATATTAATAATATAAATATTAAATAATATAATATAATATTAATACTAATATTAATAAATAATTAAAAAAAAGTTATGAAAATGATTTATATTTTTTCTACTGTTAAGTTAAATTCAAAATAACCCGCTTTAAATTACCTCGTATCAATATTATTACAGCCAATCACAGAGTAGATAAATCACCACTGTTTTTCATATTATAATAGGTTTGGCGAACGCACTTTACGTGTGCCAAAAATAAATCCTCAGAAGGGGATTTGTAATAATAAGACTTTGAATGTAAGATTAGAAAAGATAAAAGTTTTATTTAGTTAAAATAAAGTAAAACAACGAAATATGGCGGCGCGTAACGGCGATCCTACGAGAAGAAAACAATAATGAACGACGTGGTCTACAGTTCGGTGTAGCGAGAGCAACCGATGACCGACGCGTCGCTGTGGCGGTGTTATGGAGGTGGTTAATTCTCGTGGAAGAAACAAACACCGTTGTGATAAGTGGGGTTGCATCCCCCACATAGGTATAGATATCTATGCTGTTTTTATACTAGTCCACGATAAATTTATAATCTGGTTAAAAATTTTGAATGGTTATAAAATGTAATTGTTTATAATTATGTCTACTGATAATGAAAAGTGATAAGAATCTCAATAACTTAGGTTTTAAAAAACATAACTTCTATCTGTCTATCATATATTAACTGTCTATAATAAATATCATATTAAAATACGTTAAAAGATTCATTTTTATTTCGTTGAAATGGAAATGAACGAAAGTAATGGTAAGATTATATTAATTTATATCAAACTAAACTATTATTAATTTATTTTTTGTTCCGTTTAAAGTGGATAAAAAAGAAAAGGAAACTAATAATTATATGGAAGAAGTTACTGAACAGGTTGATAAAAATGGAGTAAAATATATTGTGTATCAAGAAAATCCTGTTGATATTGATGCAGATGCCGAAGTGAATATTTAAATTTCAATAAAAACAATTTTTTAAAATAATGATAATCCATACAGTTTCAAAATGAATTAACTTTTTGTTCTAAATGTTCTGTACAAAATTAAATGATAAACTTTGTTTTGGTATAATAAGTTAAATTTATTAAAATTAGTAATAATTAATTTTATATTCTATAAGCAAATAAAATACTTATTACCTATTTTATTAAGGTGATACTATTATAAATAATAAATTAAATATAATCATTATATAGTTGAGTCAAATATACGAAATCCACCAAAAATGTAGTTATTTTTTAAGATCTTGATTAACATTTTAAATGCTTTCTAAAGTATTTTAATTTTAGTTTCAGGGGTTGACTGACCAAGAAAACAAAGGAGCGATTACCTCCTGTGCTCTCGATAGTGTCATATTAATAAAATTTATATTTATACTCGTATAAAAAATGTGATATTAAAATATAATAGTAAAACACCATTCATTTCCTATTATAATTGATTATGATTTGAGCATTTTTAACTTGTGATGGACATATCCGAATTATTAAATTAAATTTTTCTTTTCAATTACTTATTTTTATATTCACATAAATTTAATTAAGAATATGTGTTAAATATAAGTTAATTGGGTATTTAGTCATGATATCACTGTAAATCATAAAGGTAAAAAATAAACTTAACAATTTTTTAACTTGTTTTGGTAATTAATAATAAATTATAAAAACTGTTGGTCATGATAAGTATACTATAATTCATAAAAAATAATATTAATTTGTTGTTAAATTTTAATTATAATAAAAAAGAATTAATTTATTAGACATTAAAAATAATTATAATTCACATAAAAAGCAAGCCCATAAAGCTAAATACTTCAGCGAATTCACATAAAAATTTGATTCAAATAAAGAAAATTCAGCTCTTTGGATTTCATACCCATCACTATAACAAAATATTTATTAGTTGAAATGTGATAATAATAAATCCATTTAACCCTTCTTGAGCTCTTCGATATCCAATATAGTCCATCTCTGGCTATTTTATCTAGGTATCTCAAAGGTTTTTATTTCTTTTGAGTTACAATTTTTATAACTTTACTTTTACTATCATAGAATAAAATTAATATTTATTTGGTACCTACTATAGTAATATTTTTTTAATTAAAATTACTTAACGTTTTTTATTGTAAGCTCAATATAATAATTTTTTATATTTAAGGTAATGATTTCTTTACATAATATTTTATGTAATTTTATTTTGTATAAAAATTATTCAGTTTGTTATAAGTTGCATAGGAATTAAAAATATAAATATAAAAAATATAAATGAAAAAAAAAATGGATGCAATTGAATTATGTGTAATTAATGATTTAGTATGTTTCTGTGTTAAATTTTATATTTTATTTTAGGAATTAGATTTAAACCACCAACAACTGGATACAATTGAAAACTTTGAACATATGCAAAATCTCCGTTCTTTATGCCTTCGTTGGAATCGTATTAAAACTATTGAAAATCTTCAAATGCTTGTCAATCTAAGTGAACTTGATTTGTACGATAATCAAATAATTAAAATTGAAAATCTTTCCAGTCTCATAAATTTAAAGTAAAATTTGTGTATGTGAATAAATAATAAAACATTAATGTTTAATTTTGATATATTTTAGAGTGCTTGATCTATCATTCAACCGTATAAAAGAAATTGAGGGTCTTGAACATTTGATAAATTTAGAGAAATTGTATTTGTCCAGTAACCGAATAACTAAGATTTCAAATGTTAATCATTTGTCAAATCTAAAGATGCTAGAATTAGGCGATAATAAAATTAAGGTACAATTTCAAAACCTTAATTAAACTTTTTCTTAAAATCTTATTTTCTATGTTTTAAATATTTATATTGTCCTCAAGTTAATTAATCATTGTTAAGAAAATATAATTATAGTTGTATATTATCTTTTTTTAAATTATCTTATTACTATTGTGTGGAAAAAAATTTTTGTTCTGAATTTTAATTTTCTAGAATTAACTCAATTATTTACATTTTAAGCAATACATTTGTGTATTTAATTTGTAGGTGATTGAAAATATTGAAAACCTTACTGGCCTTACAGAATTATATCTTGGAAAGAACAAAATTGATAAAATTCAAAATGTTGATACATTGTCAAAACTGAAAATATTGAGTCTACAAAATAATAATTTGACTAAAATTGAAAATCTTAACAAATTGACTGAACTTGATGAGTTGTATCTATCTGAAAATGGAATCACTGTAATTGAAAATCTTGAAGGCAACATAAATCTTGGGACCATTGATTTATCCATGAATAAAATTTCAAAGCTTGAAAATATAGCATACTTAAAAAATTTAAAAGAACTTTGGGTAAGAATATTAAATATTTAGTACATATAAAATAAATATAAATACTATGAATATTTTGTTATTATAGATAAATGATAATCAAGTAAATGATTGGAATGATGTTACAATTTTGGAACAGATGAAACAATTAGAAACAATTTATTTGGAACATAATCCTATAAGCAAAGATAGTGCATATAGAAGAAAAATAAAACTAATTATTCCTTGGATTAAACAGATTGATGCTGCATTAGCTAAATAAATAATTAAAAATACCTACAAATTCATATTAATGTAACACATTTTTTTAAATAAGATTAAACTGTTTTATAGTAATTAAAAATGTAATTTTGTAAATTTTAACAGTACCATAATGCATGTACTTAACATTATTTATATTTTTAAAATAAATGTAATGTTATATAAACAGAAATCAATCGTTTAATTTAAGTTTAACAACATAGTTTTCATCAATTGGATCAATAATTTGACCCATTTGAGTAACAACAGGTGGAGCTGTAAGTTTATTGAAAGTAGTTTCAGGTACCCATGTTCGACCTATAGGGACCTTAATTGTTTCTTCATATTCCTCAACGTCTTTGAATGGATATGGTAATTCAGATACCTAAAAAATGTAATATTAATTATTAACTAGAATTATTTTTTTCCTTTTTTTTTTTTAAATGGCTTCTGGAGGTATACAGTTGGTTACGACACAATACCCTACCTACTAATATGGGCTTGCTTCGTGGAGATTTAATTAAGGAGATTGTTTTTTAAATTAAATTACATTTATTGGATTATTAACAGTTATGAAGTTAAAGCAAAAATAGTTACATACAATTTAAAAACTTTGACTTTGGCAGTAGCTCAAACAAAAATATATTTATGTTATATTTTATTTACCTTAAACTAGACTGCTATGGTATAACCATTTGAAAACATAAAAGTATATCAGAAAAATTATTTAATAATTAAATATGCCACATATTATAATTGAATGAGTTGAGTCAGCAAAATATAGCTCATATTTTTATTTTAGACAAGATTTAATTATTCATATGGGAATATATAATAACTAATTATCTATTAACTATGCCAAGTTTCAGTTACATTTGTACAATGTCAATACTTCTAATAAGATACTTTAAAAAAGAAAAGGAGGAAGTGATCATTAATACAAATTGTTTACTAAGATGTTATACCAAATTTTGCAATGACCATCCGTATTAAAAATTCAGAATTTTAATATAATTAAAAACTAAAGGTATATACATTTCCATATAAATGATTTGACAAAATGATAACTATGAATCTTACCATATGTAATTTAATGGCATTATCTGCATTTTCATTAATAATAACTCTTTCTCTGTTAAAATCTTTGCGTGGAGGTTTAGCAGGCGTTCTGAAAAAGCCCGAATTAGCTCTTTTCTTAAATGTTCGTTTTCTGATATTAGGACCTGCCCAACTTCCCCAACCTGGAAGTGCTGTTTCAACTTTTGGTTTAGATTGTTCTTCTATTTTTTTCTTTTCTTCCCTAAACAAAAAAAGTGTATTATGTACTATAATCTTGTAAAATAATATATATTTATAAGTACTTGAATTCATTGATGATATCATCATCAGCAAATGCTTCTGCAATTAACTTTTCTTGTTCGTTTTCATATTTATCATCTAAATGATCTTCTAGCTGAGCCATTTCTTCAGTTTCTAAACTAGTTTGTGTCACTTTTAAAAATTCATTTGGATCAATATTCTGTACTTGCTTTACTTGATTTTTAGATATTTCTGTAATTACATTACTTGGATCTAGATTATCTATTATATTAGTTACTGTATATCTATCTAATATTTTATTATCTTCATGCAAAGGCTCATTCAATTCAGTCTTAACACGTTTTTTATTCATTTTTAAGTAATCATTATCTACTTTTTTACGTTTAACAGATTCAATTTCAGTTGACTGTTTTAATTTAATTTTGTTTAGATTTTTTAATGATTTGTCAATTTTATTTTTTAATTCAGTTTCGACAATTCTAAAAGTATTTTCAACATCTCTATGTACTTTTTTTTTTTTTGATTTAACACTTTCAATATTATTTGATGTTATAAACCAAGTTCCAACAGCCGAATGAATTACTTTGTTATTATTACTCCTACTGTTTTGTGATGTAGTAGAATTAATGTCAATAGTTTCATTAACTTTATTAGTTTTAAATTCAGATTTGATAACATCATTAGCAGAACAAACTTTTGATTTTGGACTAGCAATTTTTAGAATTTCAACATCACTGTCTTCATCACTAAATTTAGAAAGATCAAGAACTGTGATGTGTTTAACTTTATTTTTATGGTTTTTATTTTTAACTTTATTAATAGTATGGACTTCTTCAACATTTTCAGGTTCATTAGTAATAGTATTCTTATTTTTTCCTTCAATAAATATGCTATCTTTATGTTGAATTTTTTCATTTTGACTATTATTGTCAGAGGTTTTGTTATTATTTTGAACAAAATTATTATAATCATTCATAAAATCTGTAAATTCTTTTCGTTCAGCTAGCCATGGATTGTCAGGATCAATTACATGTTCTGATACTTTAATTTGTTCCTCATCAGAATCTTCAGAATTATCTGTATCATATATTGTCGGTCCAATTTTTTGTGTTAACTCTTTACCTTTTTTTAATTGTTCTGATAAAGCTATACGACTCTATAAAACATATTAATAAAAATTAAAAATTAGTTAAGATTATAGTATTTTGGGAATAGAATGTTTTTATTTATATTTTTTTTATTTAGTCTTATTTTATTAATCAAGTACTGATAAAGATACAAAATCTGATATAAGGACATTCATGGAAGTTGGTGATTCCAAAATTATTTTTTCACAAAAAGAAAATTTAAATTTTTTTAATATGTTTTGTTGAATTACCAACATATAGGAAGTAGACAAAAAATTTCAAATAAATGCTATGGTAATTTAATACCAGTTTTCAAAATTATTCTTTTATTTTTATATTTCTATGTATTAAAAACATCTATAATATTTTATTAAATACAAAATTGCTCACGTTTTTATCATATTTTGCTCGAACAACATGATTTTGAGCCCATTGACCTGTAGATTTGTGTCTCAAACTAGCACGTTCTTCCGCTCTAGTTTTTTCAATAGCATTTAATTTTTCTAATGCAGCTATTGGATCAGTGTCTTGTAATTTTTCAAATTCTTTGATTTGATCCTTAGTTTTTTCTTTTCTTAACAATCTATGATACTTTTTACTTTTAATTTTATTTTGTCTGTGAGCTTTAGCATGCCTATATGATTCTTGAGCACGGAATTTAGCCATAGTTTTACGTTTTTCAAGTAACTCTTTCAGTGTTAATGGATATTTTTCTTTTTCTTTTTCTATCCAAGAATTTTTCTATAAATTAAAAATAATAACATTTATTAAGTATGCTAATAGATAATGTCTTATTGAATTAAATTATTACTAAAGAATTTTGCTTCTCTTTAACAATTTTGCTGGATTGTAGAACATTAGCAATTTGTTTTTGTAAATCTGTTGGCCGAGAGTAACCTCTAGTAAAGTCAACCATACGGTTATCAAATACTTCGATTTCACTGGTTTTTAAAGGAAAACTTAACTGATCAGCAGACCTATTTTTTTCAACAACAGCGGACCATCTACTTATATGTTTTTTGAAATTATCATAAGCAACAGCTCTTTTGATCTATAGTAAAACACATATAATTTATTTTGACATATTATAAATATATTAGACATACATATAAATTAAAATTATTAAATTATTATTCAATTGAAAGGATTGGAGAATTTTTTTTTTTAGATGAATAAAAAATGTATCATAACAAATAAAAACAATAAATACAATCCAAAGAAATTAAATCTATTATAATATTATAAAACTCTTAGATGGTGATATTATGACAATTAATTATATATAAAAAAAAAAAAATAAACAAATAAATAAATTAAAGACGAATGAAGGATTAAAATAGTTAAATCTATCTGATTTTTATAAACATATTATTTTATAGGAAGTTAGTTTTGACGGCTGGTGACTAGGGGATTTAAGCCTGTGACTGCTTTTAGATACAACTGCCTTATCTCGGTCAGTTACAATGCCTCAAATTGTAAATGATTATCTTGAAGTATTTTATATATTTAATTTAAAATAGTATATAAATTACTAAGATAAGTAAAAAAAATAGTAGGATAATTTTGATTAATTAATAATTCAGGTAATCAAATGCATTATGTGTGTTTATAGTTTTAGCCACACATTTCTAATATAGAAAATAATAAAATTGAATATAATTATAATATAGATGAAAAAAAAAAATAATTAAAAAGTATTATTGATTAATTATAGATAGGTCTTGTAATATAAATAAGCAACTAAAAATGATTACTTTTTCAGCATGAACTTTATCCAAAGGTTTCTGCAGCAACTTTTTAGTTGATTTAGCTACTTGGATTTTTTGTCTAATTTGAGGAGCTTTCTTTTTTATAGCATTTGATAAATCATCAACATTTGTTTGTTGTCTACTGGACAAATGAAATTCGGAAACTTGTAAACTTGGTTCATTGCGTGTAGTTGGCTGTATTCTAAATATAAATTAAATAATAGTTAAGAATGCAATTAAAATTAAATTTATACTTAAATCACAGATTATAATCTGTGCTTAAATTAACAAAACATGAAAAATATATACTTTCGTTTAGTTTTAGATGTAATTGTTTGCAATAATTGTTTATGCTTCTCATGTGAAATATCCTCCATGTTCTCATCAATGAATGGGTCTTCATTTTTGGATAGTGAGCTAACCATTATGAAATGTTTTAATTAAATTTGAATTTTAGGAAAAACTAAGTTTAAATTCGACGAATTAATATAAAATATTAATGGCCAAAACACTTCATGTCACTTTTACACGTGAATATGTGTTTTGATAATCATTATAATTTTATCAATATATTTTTTTTTTAATAAACGATAAGAAACATTGATAATGTTAACATTATGGTTTTTTCTTTTTTTATTTGAAAAACAGTCTAAAGCATAGGTTCCCAAAGTGTGCGCCGCGATGTCCGTATAAGGGTGCCGTGTCGTCATAAAATACTATCGGGTCCAACATTTTCCTTATGATTAGTCATGTTATAACTTAGAGAAGGGCACCCTGAAAAAACCTTAAATCAAAAAGGGTGCCGTGAGTCGAAAAAGTTTGGGAAGCACTGGTCTATAGTATAGACTCTATACCGGGTTCACACTACACCGTGCCGTGTCGTGTCTTCTAAAATAATTATCTCTGATTGGTTGAACAATATTGTTACATCAAGGTATACCATATAATAAATCACAAGTTACCTCACTAACCATAAGATACCATGAAGTTGATTTTATCCAACTTTTGAACGTGTGGTTATCGTTTTTTATAGTAATAATTTTATATTCAATGATAACAGTATTCATAATAACAAAGATTCAAAAGGTGTTAATTTGGTAACAATCAAGACTGATGATATAAGTATATTATTATTATTATTTTAACATTTAAAAAAAAATTAAAAACTTAAATTTTATTATATTGAAATGGTAACTCTCCTTCATTCATAAAATAATTTTTTATCTTTTCTCTTATAACTTTTGCTCTCTGACCATAAAAATTTGATCCCATATCTCTAATAGGTGCTAATGTTCCAATTTCTTCCATATTATCAGATTGATTGGTTGCTTTATGTTGACAGTATTCTTTAACACCTGTATAGTATTTTTTAACAAAAGTATGTTAATGTCATATTTTAAATATCAAAAACAATTAAACTATTAATTGACCTTCTCTTCCTTCATAGTTTTTAACATAATTATGAAGCACAACGGATACTTATACAATTGCATTAACTGTATCTTCTGAGGCTATAATGGGTCGTTGAAATATATGCCATTTACAGGCAATAATACCAAAAGTATTTTCAATACATCTACGAGCTCTACTTAATCTTAAGAATTTATAATTAATAAATTTTATGACTTTTGTTAACTATTGTATGGTAATGAATTATTTAAATATTGTTAGAAATATTTATTATAGTGTTAAAAAGTAATGACGTATTTTACCTATAGTTGAAAACTGCTTCATCAATAGGCAAATTTGCTTTTGTTCTACCAGGATAGGGTCTTATAACATTGGATAATAACATGAACGTTTTGTCTGCTACAATATAATGGGGAATAGGTCCATTTTCACTGTCAATAGGTCTATGATCAGGAAAATCTATTTCATTTCTTATTATTTGTTTGCCTAAATACCCTACTATCCCTACAACGTTCTGGTGCTCCAATATCAACTACAGTGAAATTGTACTTCGCATCACACATAGCTAAGAGTATAATGCTATGAGCTCCTTTGTAATTAAAATACATGTAACCACTATTAACAAATGCCTACATAATAAAATAAATTGTTTAATAATTTTAATAAATTAAATACTTTTAAAATGGTTACTTGGTGAACAATATGTTTTCCATCTATTGATCCTATACAGTTGGGCATATTCCACAAAGTACTGAATCCTTCAGCTATTTCCAACCAGGCCTGCTTATTTGGTGTAAGTAATACCTATAGATGAAAATTAATATGCCCTTAGAAAAATTGGGATTTTATTCTTTAATAAAGATTCATTTTTAATAAAATGTATGGTATAATTTTATCTTTTAGTACTTCCCACAGTGCCAAACAACATTCTTTAATTAATTCTGACACAGTTGATTGCCCTATTCTAAAAGAATACATAATACTGGGCATACTATCACCAGTTGCCAAATACCAAAGTACATATTAATACATAATTAATTTAGTGTATTATTATAATGATATATTATATATGATATATGTTTATTAATTATATTTCTTGACTATGATATAATTGTGTCTTTACATATGTTAAATAATTGTAAATTTTTTTTTTAAATATGTTTAATACATTCAATTTGATTTATTTTTCCAAATAATACAGAGAAATAGCTGCTGTATAATTTCATTATGCATTATTCTTTGGAATGGAATTGAATTCAATGTTTTATTGGTGCTAATGATACTATTCAAAACAAACACAGCTATAAAATAAGTAAATCATTGTATGGATTACAGTTTTTAACTTTTTTATAAATGTTTTTTAAAATATCTAGAACAATATTGATTATGTTGCTCATATTAGGTTGCAGAGTAATTAGCAAAAGCTTGAACATGAGTAGTACTATTGTACCCAAGTGCTAGGTATTAATACACTTTTTTCTTAATATTATAAGAAAATATTATTGTCCTACTATAGTTTATTTACTTCAACCATATCTTACTGGAACGCTGTATAATAATTAAAATATTTGCTTTGATTATGTTATGTTTTATATTATTATACATTATCTTCATATATTCTTAAAGCCTTAAAGCACATGATTACAAAAAACTTCCACACTCTGTCTTTCATAAATTATTTATATTTTTATATATTCATTCTGTATATTTTTTAATTATTGACAATGAGTACTTTTATGTTCTCTGAATGTGAGAAAGGGGTTGGCGACCTCCACGTGGTCTTTCTTGGATGCGTTTTTCACTATGAATATTTAGAGTGTAAAATGTAACTAACGCCAACATTTATGTATACACACCTAATATAAAGTATTCAATTATCGCACAAATTTTTTATTTCAGTTATCATCAAGGAAGATCTATATCCATTTTAATAGTTTTTTGTGTGCAGACTGACATTGTATATACACTGTCTAATTAATATTGAAAGAATAAGTTATGCGTTATGTCTTCTTTCTTTGAACCGACTATAGTGTGATTGAATGTTTTTTTACTTTGATAATGTCAAGTTCTCTAGCGTTTATGAGACATATATTGTTGTATCTAAGATACTTTTCATAAAAGTATCCCTTCGGTGAGTTAAGTTACCGAAGAAGACACATATAATACTTTTGTAATCATAAATATATATTTTATTCTGTAATTGAAATATTGAAATCTATATGCATATTTATACCTCTTTTTAAATTCAATGCCATTCTGTTAAATATAGTGAATAATTTACATATTTAACCTTTAACTATTGTTGAAGAGACACTTAACGTTCTATGGGTACTATTGTTATCATAGGCGTGCGCACGGGAGATGCCGGGTGTTCCCGGGCATCTCCCTATACGTTCTAAACGGTGCCCTACAATTTAAGTTTCAGACTATAAATGGCCGGTATTTTTACTGATTTGGCTCAAATTAAATTAAATTTATTCTAAATCCGTAGAAGTTTAAGAAAACAATTAGGTGAGGGTCTCCTAGATAGCGAACGCCTTTGACGCCGAAGGCGTATCAGTTTTCCACCCATATATTATCAATAGTAATAATTATCATGAGTGGTAACCGTGGTAGTATTGCATGATAAATTGATTATAAAAATGTTTTTAATATTATTAATATTAATTATTAATTAAGCGAATTTCACCCGGAGCGAGGCACACAGAAGCTAGTTAATATATAAAAAAATTAATAATTACAAATATTTGGTTAACAGGTCAATGTTACCCGGTCTAGAATATTTTCTAATTTCTGTGGTTTAAATATATGGTTACTTGGTTCATGCCATTGTATAAACATTGAATATTTTTCATCAATTGTATTGTACAGTAGTTTATAGGTTAGTTTAAAATTTTCATGATAAATGACAATGCAAAAAGTAAACAATAATCTTTAGTTTTCGTTGTTACGCATTCACCAAAAAATCGTTTCCTCTAATTCGTAAAACATTTTAAGTATTTATTCTTGAACCGTCTAAATCGTTTGGTAAGTGAAATTTATTTTATACATTTATATATTATAAGATTCTTCTTTTTTTTAAAAAATCTATGTAGTAAATTTTGGTTTTTTGGTTTTGGTATTAATATTATTGAATTCTACCAGCTCTAATGAACAAACGATATATTATCGATTGTTTAATTTAATTAAAAGATTTTGTTTTGTTTATTTTTAAAAGTTTTTGTAATATTATAACTACATTTAGTTAAAGGAATAATTAACATTGAAATGTAGTTTGTACAAATAAAAATTTATAAATTTTGCATTTAATTTAATTTAATATGTTATTAAATATCATACCACTTATGTTAATGTTAGAACAATAATATTTAAATTTAATCCTGAGTATTTATTAACTTCCAAAAGTTATAATTTATTTATATATATATGTTAAGGTGTATGGCCGCAGTAGACGAATGTTGATAGTTACTGGTGTATGTTTACATTTACCAAAAATCGTAGTCAATGTTGACAAAATGGTCTTAACGCGTTCATACACCGGTGATTGTTGACATTTACGATCAGTGTTTGATAATTGTTGTCTACATTTGAAGCACGATGTATGTAAAAGATATTTTTGTATTATTTTGTAAGATCGATAACATTTTTGATTAGATTTGATGTTATCCTCCAGTCACAATATGCATTCAAGATGTTTGGGTGTCAGTAATGTTATCGCATGAGAAAATCCGATAGTCAATTGTTTGCTAAGTAATATAATATAAACCCTCTTCAGTATTGTCGCGTATTCTAAACCAAATAACAGTTTAATAACAGTTTATAATATTATATTTGAATTAAAATTAATAATGGATAAAAATATGAAAGATATTTTTCATGAAAAATTTAATACACTTTTATTAAAAAAAAGGTAAAATAATTGTTTTTATTTAAGCACTGAAAAATATAATAAATATATAATTGAAGTTGTAAATGTTAAACTAAAAAAAAATAAACAACGAAGTTATTACAGGCGATTTAATTGGTTTGACGTTGTGGATATTATGGACAATCATAAATTAATCATCCCATTAAAAGTAGGTGAAACTGTAATTATTTACTATGTAAAGAACGAAAAACTACACGACATTAATCATGAAGTTCATATAAAAACTGGCCTTGAAGGGCGAAATCATATATATTGTCAGACATGTCAAAATTCACTAAATAACTATTGCGCATGTCATCAAATACTGGTAAATGTCTGCATTGTGAGATATTTGAAATAATTGATAACATTCACCGAAATGATTGGTAAATGTCAACATTCACTGCTATGCGGTGATACACCTTAACATATATATCCAACATTTGTAATTGTCATTTGAATATATTATTTACTTACTTTATATTTAATAACAGATTGTAAATTGCATAAATCATCCCAATTATGGAGTTATATAAACAAGGAGCAGAATCAAAAATATATTCTACAATATATTTAGATCGGAAAGCTATTGTAAAAGAACGATTTTCTAAACAATATAGAAATAAATTGTTGGATCAAACTTTACGAAAAGAACGTACTAAAGCTGAATCCAAAGCTATTTTAAAATGTAAACAAGGTGGAATTGTTACTCCTGCTATATACTCCTTAGATTTAAATGACTGTAAAATAACAATGGAAAAAATAAATGGTCAAACAATTAATGACTATCTGATTAATATGAGAAATAAGAAAGATGATAATGCTAAGTTAACAAGTATATTGATGAACATCGGGGGTATTGTTGGAAAAATGCATTCTATTGGAGTATTTCATGGCGATCTTACAACTTCTAACATATTAAAAATGGAAGATGATACTTTGGCGTTAATTGATTTTGGCCTAAGCCATTTTAATCCAAGTATTGAAGATAAAGCTGTGGACATATATGTTTTGGAACGTGCATTTACCAGTACACATTCATATTTTACACATTTTTTTGCAGCAATTTTAGATGGTTATAAGAATGCTTATAAATCAAATGTTCAAGCTGTAATTGATCAATATCAAAATGTTCGAGCTCGAGGTCGTAAACGTGAAATGATTGGCTAGTTTATTAATTTTGTATGCATTTTAAATATTTTCAAAATAAAAACTATTTCATTTTAATTATATTGTTATTTTATTATTTATTGTAGTATCTGATATAAATCCATTCTAAATTATAATTTTCAATTTAATAAATTGTTTTAATATTGTAAATAACTATAATTATTTATTACATTTAAATGACTAGATAAAATCTTTAATCCTTTAGAATTAACTTGTCTTTATATTTTTTGTGTTATATTTGATTAAAAAATAAAAAACTAATGAAAAATAAAAACAAAGAATTACTGAAATAATTTGATTTGCCCTATATTTATCATGTAGTATGGCCTAAACTTTTTTTTAATATTTTTTCAGATAAAATATGGATGTAGCTGAAGGTGTGACACCAGCATATTTGAAATTGGCTCAGATAAAATTTTGCTTGTCTCTTCCACAGTTTAAAAATGACCCCGATCTAAAAAAATCGTTGTTAGATGGGATAGTCGATAATAATATGGCACCTTATTATCAAGAAGTATGTACTGATTTGTCATGGAAATTTGACCAAACTCTTTATGAAAAAATGGCAGCAAACAATGATAAACGGATGGCAGAACTTGAACAAGAAAAAAATCCTACAATGGTAGATGATGATGATCCTGTTTCAGGAATTTGGCAAGCCAAGTTGCTTTATTTATGTTCTATTGGTGATCGTGAAAAAGCAACTAAATTGGCTGAATCAAAATTGGAAGAGAAGAATGTACCTAAGTCTCAACAAATTGATACTGTATTTGCTTTATTCAGAATAGCATATTTCCATGGTTGTGATTTACCAGCTATGAAAAAAGCTATTGATAAAGCTACAGAATTAATCGAAGGTGGATCTGGAGGTGACTGGAGTGCTAGAAACAAACTAAAGGCATATGATGGTATTTGGAGTTTAGCAATACGAGATTTCAATCGAGCTGCAAAATTGTTTGTAGATGTTGTACCTACATTTGAATCGTATGAACTCGCGGATTTCAGTACCATTATCAAGTATACTGTATATTCATCTATGATAGCTTTTCCAAGATATGAGTTAAAAAAAACACTCATGCATCATGGAGTCATGGCTCAAGCATTAAACTCTGACTCTAAAGAACTCAAAGACTACTTTGTATCATTATACGAAGGTCAATACTCAAAATTCCTTGTTTTTTTAGCACGCATTGAAAAGAACATGAAACAAGATCCAATATTACACCCTCATTACAAATATTATGTCCAAGAAATGAGATTATTGGCTTATAAACAAATATTACAAGCATATAGGTCATTGAGTTTAGATTACATGGCTGAATCGTTTGGTGTAACCAAGGAATTTGTAGAAAAGGAAGTTGCTAGATTTGCTGCTGCAGGACGTTTAACTTGCAAAATTGATCATGTCGCAGGAGCTGTAGTGACCAGTAGTACATCCAAGTGTAGTTTACAATTAGGGGCGCCGGAATCTAGGTTGGAACGTGGTATATTATATCAGACAACTGTGAAAAAAGGAGATATATTATTAAACAGATTAAAGAAGTTGGCCAGAGTTATGGATTTCTAAAAATAAATTATATTGAATTCTTTTTTTTTTTTTAGAATTACTTAAACATTTATAAACTTTGAATTTATGTATGTATATATACTTATTAATTACATTGATTCTAATTTATCTACTGTTTGTTTGTAACACCAAAACTATAAACCTAACATCTCTAAAAATTATATACTAAGGATCATACAATATATTTATTGTAGATTTATTATAAATTATACTCAATAACCAATAAAGGATCTACATTTATTTTCACTTGATAATTAAAATTAAAATTTTTGTATTGTTAAATATATTTTATAAATCTTAAAATAAAAATAATCTAAAAATTATTATAAAGTCTTTATCTCACATAACTGTAAAACATGAATTAACTTTTGTTCTTATATGTACAGAATGGACATAATAACAGGCGTAAACTGGGGGGGGGGCAAAGGTGCAATTTCCCCCTAGAAAAAATTAAGAGGGCCAATACCCTCTCTGATATTTTACATACCTTGTTTTAAAATTGGTGCAAAACAGCTGGTTATAGCTATTACCATAACATTTTTATTTTAAATCTTAATTTTAAATTTTCGCTTATCTAACATAATGTTAGAAAATGTTTGACATTTTATATTATTATATGTTAGTAGTAAAGCGGCGTTTAGCCTAGGACATCCCTTTTCATTAATTATGTAATTATATTTTCGCCCTCCCTAATGAATTTCCAAGTTACGCCTATGGACATAATTTATTCATTATATAAAATTTGTTTGATCCGATAGTAATAAATATTTATTCTAGTTTTTGTCTTTACAATTAAATTTAATAACATTTTATTTTATTTATATTTTAATTATAAATTATTTTACTTAGTAATTGATATTTCAATTGATGAATTTATAACATTTATGGATTTGATGTAATGTAAATTTCAATATTTATAAACACAAATTTAAAATTATTTTATACATTGGTAATTATTGTATAGTAGTAATTTTAAATACAACAAATGGATTATAACATTTTGAATTAAAACTAATTTTTTTTCTCCAAATAGAAATTTGATTAAAATTCTCTTCTTCGTCTATATGTTTAGTCCACAGCAGTTAGAGTTTTTATTCGGAATAAATCAAACAAAAGATTTTGATTGGTTTTTCGTTATAGTTTAGGGTCCTGATTATTCTAAAAGTCCCCGTTGATAACGCATGTGCTAAAATTTTAAGGGTGGTTTTAAGGGGTGAAAATTGCTCAAAAATCAGTTTTATACTAATTCTTCTTAAAATATTAACTGGACAACTAAAATACCTATATGCTAAATTAAAGCTGAGTAAATTATCTATAAAAAAGTATCCCAAGTCCTTAAGCCTACAACCAAAAGGTTTCAAAAAAAAATGTAAGTAAAAATTAGTATTTATAAGAACTTTTTTTCGACAGAAATTTATGAAAATCGTCGTTGTACTGTCTAAGCTAACAAACTTTATCAACATTCATTGAGTATTATAGTACATCTGATACGTTGAGTACATCTGATACGTTGGATTATATTTATATTATAATTATTATTATTATTATTATTATTATTATTAGATAGTCGGGACACACCGCTGCCTAACCAGTGGGTTTTTCCAGTTAGGCAT